CTACTATGCTCTCCTTGTCTATTCGTTTTTTTTTGAAAAAGTTGTTTTGAAATAATTTCTAATACTGTACATTGTATTATTCTTAACATCATTGGCTTTTTCAATATTGTGTTGTTATTTATCAAAAGTACGCGGAATTAAAGTGATAACACATAGAAATAACGGTCGTATTCATCTAAACCTAGCTCGAAGTTTCATCAAGTAGTGCAAAGTAGTCGGAAGCATTTTAAAGTAGCTGAAAGTACCACTAAAGTAGCGCAAAGTACTACTCAAGTAGTTTAAAGTAGCATCGAAGTATACAAAATCAACTTGAAGTAGTTCAAAGTAGCCTTCATGTAGCTAAAAGTAACTTCAAGTGCAAAACTCCGCCGTTTCCCCCTTGACAGCCATTCTTCTAATTTGTAATACAATGTTTCAAATTTGTTGATGCGCTTTTTTCGCAAACCTGCCCCAAAAAAGTAATCGAATAAAACTATCCTTTAGCAAATAAAATCATCGACAATGCTGTTCAAAAGTTATCTTGTTTATTAAGGGAGGCTAATTTTTTATATAGTTTTTTATTTAACTTTTATAAACAATGACTTACTATCTGAGATAATTCTCATACTGGAAAATCAATCTGTTGATTTACGAAATGTAATTTATCTTTTTCAGCTAATTTTCATCTATTTTATTTTTATAGAAAGCAGAATTTATCAAGTTACCAATGTCAAAACTTATGGAAGATGGAACGTTTTCATTTCTACTATAGGAAATCATGCTAAGGGTTGGACACCATTTTCATTCATATTTTGGGTAGAAATGGATCTGTAAGAGACCTAAAAGACTTGAAAATAATGTATTCATGGGTTTGATGAATCAAGATCTAATGTTTCTTATAATAAAAAAGTATTATTATTTTGTGGAATTGAGATATATTTTTTCGAAGAAAAAAAGAGGTGAGTGTAAGTGTCAAGTCGAAGTTTTTCGGCTCATTCCTCTCTCCTCCATCCTTTTCATCACAGACCTATCCAACTGTTATTATATAGTGGATATTTGCAAAACCCTTATTTGCCATTTAATTCAATGCTTACAATAAAATTAGGACAATCAAGCTCAAAAAGACATGTAAGTTTCACATTTCAGCCCCAAGGAGACCGCTAACAAACGTTTTTCTTATTTCACCGAAGTCAAACTTAAATTTCCTTAAAAAAAGTTCTACGAACCTGTCAAACATTGTCATATTCTTGAAAAGATTGATCTTTCTATTTTTCTTTATATTCTAAACAGAAAAGTATCATTGGCCATATATTCAATCGTAATTTTATGATAATTCGAACTTGATTCTGCAATATTATGGAGTGAACACTGAATCAATCTTCAGCAAATTTTCTAATAACAAACTTTTCCATGCTAAATTTCATTGATCAATATATAAGCATTTGCTTCATAGTAACTTATCAGAATCTATTTCATTAATATATCATTTGATGGAGTGAATTTTGTTCTACTATCTGAAAAGATGATTTTCTCTTTCTAGCTTTCAATAAAAACTATATTTCTCTGTTTAAGTTGAATGGGTCCGATTTTATTAAAATTTCTGATTGACCCAGGCAATGTTGTCGTAGAAGTATAAAATGTTTGAGCGTAGGTGGTTATGCGTATGAGTGTAGTACGCCTTTTTTGATATGAGAAATTCTACACCCATACCCAAATATGAATACAAAATTGACATTAAACAAAATCCGAGCTGCAAAATTTTCCACTCGAAGGAACAGAATTTTCATAACAATTGAATCTTAAATCGAATTGAGACGTTAGATAATATTAATGAAGATTTAACGAGAGCTTCAGTCCAACCGGCACGACCTAAATGAAATGCTTCACCTACTGAAGTAAGCTGATATTTAGTAAATCATTTTAATGGATGCAATACCCAGCTGATAATGTGTTTACTACTAACAATACTGTATCCCTTTAGAAAATGCCAAGCTCCAGGTCATATTTGAGTAAACATTTTCGTTGGTTGTGGCATTTGAACATCAATAAATATTGAGCACAAACCTCTTAGAATTTCTTGTATTAAATGCGCTTGTGATGACCTCATAATACGTGCCGACCAGGTTTCTACACACAAACCATCATCGTAAACAGCTCTTGTTAAATTTTGGTGTTTTTCATGTGGACGTCGAGAAGCTATTTCAATAAAACTAATACAATTTTGTCTTGTCCAAGCTAAATCAATATCTATTCCAAATAATGTACTATCTTTCCACCATCGATAAGGCCAATAACAGTATGTCTTAACTACTTCGATTGGTTTAATTGATTGAAAATTTCTATAAGATTTTTAAAGACGTGCAACTGAACCATTCATATTTTATCAATCAGACGGATTCATTGCTACAACTAAGTGTTTAGAACGAATGCGATATCGCGATGTTTCAATAGAAAATACATAAAAACTATCATCAGAATAATCATCAATGCTAAGAACTTCTTCATTTAAATATAATTGAGCTTGGTTGACCTTTGCTACAATATGTATCATTCTTTTGGCTAATTGTGACATTCCTTGATGACGATAATAGAGATTACCAGTCAAATTCCATTCTTGATCTATACACTTGATATATGCGTAGGCATTCACGTTTTCAAAATCAGCACGAAATCTACTTGAGCCTCATAGAAATTCGGTTGCTTCATCATCATGAACAGAGCAACAAAATGCATTGAAATCGGCAAAATTATATAAATTCGATGCATTTCTACGATATTCTTTCATTATTTCATTCCATAATTTGATCTACAGTATTCAATCTATTAGAATCATCAGTACATGTTAAATTTATATAGGATTTAGAGCACATCGGATTTATTGAAGTATAGAATATTCCACGTGCCATAATAAGACCTCTTTGATAATCATATGAGTAATACGAAACATTTAACTCATCTGCTAATTGCTTGATAGCAGTTTGACCCAGATAAAGTTATTGCGCGCCTTGAGAAGAAATTGAAGTATTCTCATAAGCTTTCGGTGAATTTCCATCATAAGTTCGTCCTCAAACATAATTATTATGTTCAAATATGCATATTTTTTTTTTATTAATTGCTGAAGAAGGTCGATATGCATGGTGAGACCCACCAATATCAGCACCTAATATCACGATTGGACAAGATAGCCTGTAAAAAAATATATGGCTCTTATTGTTGATATCATAACTGTAAACGCTGACGAACTTAATACACAATCAAAACTTGAGGAAATAAATAATTTCAGTGTTAACATTAAGAAATTTTTTTTCAAATATATCGGCTTTCGACAAAAAAGTTTGCATCAGTCCAAGAGAAAAAACCCTACTACCAACTTTCAGATTTCGATAACTCACGTAAATGGTTAATCATTTTAAATGAACCGTTTGGACTCAAAAAAAATAGTAGGAAAAAGTTTTCAACACAAGCTGCACCGCCTATATACCACTCCATAACGAATGTATAATGGTCTGTGTGGTACAGACCTATTACTACAGACTATAACAGACCAATCTATGACGCTTCAAAGATTGTTCGACATGATGTTCTTTGATGCAGGTATGGCTCTAATAAGCGTTTTGAGATTTATCAAGCACTGTTAAAGTGACTACATTGTATTTTACATTTTTATTACATAGGGATTGTGCTGAAAGCTTTTCTTTTATATACTGCAATACTCATCAACAATCTTATTTCACATGGATCGAACACTGAAACAATGGCATATGATTCATGACAAAACTTTGTTTTTTTCTGACCATTTGATTCTCTTATTTTCACTGAATAGTAATCGTTAAATTGCATGTTGTTCCTGGCTTAATAATTGAAGATTAGTTACGTTGATTAGAACCAATAGTAATAATAGCATGAAATAAATCCACGCCTTCGTATTACCATACTACTACTAATAATAATAATAATTGTTATGATTATTTATCATTATTATAGAATAATTGAAAATGACTTTGTGAGACTCTTCGCAATTGTTGTGCCGCTTTTTCTTCTCTGCAAATTAACAGAAAAACTCTTTGAAAAGTTTAACAAACTTTGATGTCTGAATAATGTCAGTTTGAGTAAGTTCTCGACTACACTGACTAACTTCTGCAAGGTTACAAAAGTTTTTCATAATATTAATGAACTTCCAATTGACATTCGTATATAACCTGTGAATGTGCTAATAGCAATATTTGTTATGATGCCTAGTAGCGTGGTAGCTCTGTTATAGAAATGGCGATAGATATGTATGACCTATTCTTCTCTATAGAAGGAGCTCCTTATGTGACGCCATCAGGCATCATATTAGATACTGATCTTAGAACATTGACAGGTTATGTGTCAACTATATAGAGTCTAGTCAAACTGACATTATTTAAATGTGTGAAATACGATGGAGCCATTTGAAGAAAAGAAAAACTAAGAGCATTCCATCACCTGTGTAACATTCTGTAGAACAAGAGTCAGAATTCTACTTTTTCTTACGAACTTAAAGAATCATTACTAATTCTATTTTAGAGAAGAGACGCTAGTAAATTAATGAAATTGTCCATGCTACAAACTCGACAAAGGATTCATCTTTTCGCAATATATCGATCACAACTTTAGACAGTAACTTTCTAATTTTTTTATTTCATCACAGATCGTAATGAATACGGTAATTGACGCAAATAAGAAGTGGTTGCAAATGTTCATATCGTTCCTATCTCATGTGTTCGATTAAGAATGAATTGTGACGCAGTTACGCGTAGTTACGATGAAATAGCCGAAGTTGCACATAATTACGGTGTAGTTTTTCCAATCACAAGTCATAGGGCATTCATCACTACGGCATAATTGTATCACAGCTGCTAAAAAAAGAACGGCATGAAATGTGTAGGCCTCTATTGCATTACTCATTTCCGCAAAAATATTGAGTAAGCGTGAGTCTGGGTGTGACTGTGGGTGCGGGTGCAGGTATTGATGTGACCATAGAGACGACCCACACTTACACCGACATTCACACACCCTTTCTGGCAAGAATGCCAAAAGCTGTGTTCAAGGAGAAGGGAGTATTTTCATCAAGATGTTACAAAACAGCTTTTAATATATGGTAATCTGAGTTTTTAGACGACACAAACACACAGCAATAAAGCGTTACGAACCAAGAATAACTATAACGATTGACTTCAAGCGAAACTTGTCTTGGCAAATGGAAGATCGTACATGAAAATGTAAAGAACATCTGGGTTTCTGTGAGCGATAAGCAGAAACATTATCAATCAAATAATAAAGAGGAGATTTAGTCCGAAATTTCTTTGTAAAAGTACAGCTACATCTTCATATATTTCAGAAAATGCTGGTCGAATTCGTAGGATGAGCATTACCTGCATATTAACTATTTAATGAGTCTCAATTGGAAGAGTACTGACTCAAAAACACAATGAAATCTCTGCTGCCTACGAGAAGAGTTTTTTTTCCATAGGTCATTCCTGTCAAAAGAAGACATGCTATTTATTGTTTCAGAGAATACGAAGAATGAGAATATCAGGACGTTTCAAGTATTTAGAAAAAAGATCTCATACAATAATTTTCTAATACTCACGAGTGTGCTACGAGAGCAGAATTAGTCAGAAGAGGGACCGTAAGAATTAGTATCGCATACCTCTGGGTCCTACTCTCACGATACTACTTAAAATATCGATCCCATTGCTTTATATTTATTAATCTTCTTATAACATTGACTACAGACAGTTGATAATTAACATGTTCATAAAAAATGTATTTGTACACGTTTCCTTGGTACCAATTAAACTGTCTCGGGCAATAAAATGAAGTACCGCTTTATATTATACCCAGATCATACGCAAAATCGAGCAGTTGCGAGTGGCGGTCCATAGGAATACAAATGACAGACTGCGAGTTGTCTCATAAAGTTCAGATTAGAACGTCTTAATTGGAAGGTTCGATCAGTTTACAAAAAAAGTCGTCTTTAGCAATATTATAAACAGTTCTTTTGTATGACTGTGTGTGCTCAACAATAGTCATCAACGCAGAATTCAAAGAATGATGAAAGATTATGTTTAGATTGAATGTGGTCAAGAGTCAAGCAAGTTGTGGCGACAAGCGTTACTTGCCCTTATCTGTGCTGAAGTAAACAGAAATATTAAGAAAGACAACTCTGTATGACTTTAGACACAGAAAAAAAAAGACACAAAACAAAAGTTAATGATAAGGATTGATCGCGACAAATATAACTAGATTGTCTAATTAGAGTCAAGAGTTTGAATGAAAGCACTAAAATGTAAAAACTAGTCTATATCCAGTCGCTCTCATGTGAGTACTGATTTATAAAGTATATCAGCTGTTAATAGACTATGTTATGGAAAAATACAATAAGTTCAAGAAAAAGTTTCATATTATATTCTGGATAGAAATGAAAAAGCTACACAGAACGATTCGGTCAGTGACTGATACTGTGAAGGACAGAGGAAAGTAACACTATCATATAACGAATGGCTGCATGGGAGAATCATGAGAACGAATGAGAGAGTTCACTGAAATAATACAAAGATTAAAAGTTTAAATCAACAAGAACTAAGAAGAAAAAAACGAAAAAAACAGTTCAACGTGTTCATAAACAGTTGGATCATTTAAATCACTGTTTGCGGACTTGAAACGTTGAGACGATGATTCATGACAACTTAAAACATACTCTCAACAGAGGTCAGACAAATAAAAGTCATAAACATTTATTTTTTTAATTTCAATGTCTCCATTATTTATATTTTTTTCCGTTTGCCTACGAGAAACACATTATTTTGAATATTTTGTACAACTCTCCTTTAATTTATCGAAAAAAAAACTTTACGGTGCATATGATTGCTTGAAAGTATCATTCAATGCGAACTATGTAGATTCAATCCTTGATAAATAGAAAAATGATTAAATAGAGAAAAGAAACATTTAGTTACGCTGTAGCCACGTTTATCAGTTAAAACAAAATTATTTTCTGTTTACGATGTGCTTCATACGTGTACAGGCTAAAATAAAATGTGTCGTATATGTGTCACTTGTGATAGTATCACCCACTCTATCACGAAAATGTGCCGTACTCAGGTTGTGTCGTTACCCATCTGTTATGTATTCATTCACTGTTTTGTCTTGCGCATACAGACATATTAACCAACACTATTTGGCATACTAAACTTATATATTTTTCTAGATTATTTCTCGATTAGTTATTGTTCGACAACATTTTGAGAGATCGGTTGAAAATGAAGATTGGACTGCATTTAAGTGGTCTGATTCAGATCAAATCGAATGGAGACGACTAGCTCTTAAGATCTTACTGTCTTGAACTCAAATCATAGGTGTTACTAATACGAATTAAGCTAAAAAAATATTGATATTTTCAATTTTCAGAAAATATCATTAGTATGTTGAAGGATAGACTGGAACTACGTGTTCAAAATGTATCGCAACGAGCACCTCGTGCCGCACTTTAATGTCTAGTACATTGAGTTTTAAAGTACTGCACATGACACACATTTTATCTTAGTATGTAATTACTTTTTCGTATGTTTATTAAGCTAGTTTTGGATGTGAATGGGTGCGTCCTTGACTCTCTTCGTAATCCACACCCACACCCACACCCCTTTTTTAACATATACATTGTTCTGTAGGACGCTTTTCTTTGCAAGCACAATGAGGCTAATTGTTGATGCAAACATTTGAAGTTTATATAGTTCATTAGATCAATTAGTTTTGAAAATCATTGATAACAATTATTCTCATTTATTGGACAGGTCAGTTTTAAATCAAGAGAATGTTCATAGCGAAAAATCCCAAGTCCATTACCCACAATCATGTATCGACTTAGCCTCAGTGGGTATCGTTTACAGCAATCATAAACGATGTATTACGACTATTAAAAAAAATACTACGCCAGTAAAAGACGCTATGACAACATCGTAATCCATCGCATATAGCAGCTGCGAATGGTTTTATATACGATCGTCGATTTCCATTCTACTTCTTAAACAATTGCTAATGTGAATTATCTATATTAATTCAATAGCCTATCAAATACAACGGATTGGCTGACACTACATTACACGTAACTACTACCTAATACACGTCATTTAACTGAGAACCTACAAAGGTGCTAGGCCATTTAACGTAACGAATATTGGTGCAAGGGCATATAAAAAAATCATGCATCCGTATACGAATACATATGAAGGTTTTGATATAAGGTACCGTCATAGTTGTATAGTGTCAAGAGTATAGGTGCAAGGGTAAAGATATAAGGGAAGAATGATGGGGGTATAGGCAAAGGTTATAGATCTAAAGTATAAACATGTGTATATAGATGTAAGAGTATAGGCTTGAGGATACAAATTTAAGGGTATACGTATAAATTTAAAGATGTGAGACATATGTCTAAGTTAATATTTGTTATGATAAGGAAGCAGAGGTTTACTAATTGCTTTCGCTTCTGTTCATTACAGTCGTATGCGTTTATTCACGTGAAGATACGATCGCAAACATTAGTAGGAACACTATACGTATTTCGTTGTATATAGCACGGTAATATACGAACGTAATACGGTGCGTACTGGAAAGTTAATTTATGGCTCATATATACGGCTGTATTTTAGATGTTTAGATTCGTTGACGATAGTTTATGGTTGTTGTAATGCTTGATCTCGGAAAAAAGTGCTTTTTATTTTATGATATTGCTACGGCAATTTAACCATGATATTTTTATTTCGTTACTTCTGTGTTAACTGCTTTTTCTAGCATCATTTTTTTTTATTTTCCATGTGCCAGTTTTTGATGATTGCTTTCTATCTTGTTTTACTCACTTTTTCTCATTTCTTTTTATTTGGATTATATATATATATATGCAGCGCTTTTTTTTTATGGGTTGGTAATATTTCTGCACAGCATATTAATAACGATATCTGAGTTTATCTCGCGTTTGATTCTTAATAAAGGAATATTAAGGGTAGACAGTAGATTTCTACCATAGATGTCATAAGTCGGATTATTTATTATGTATTAATAAATAATGATGAATGGAAAAGAGAATAACCACAGAATGCTAATGATTAAGACCTAATCTGATCTTGTCAGATGTATTAGATTTTGTTGTAAGTTCCTATAAGATCCTTTCCCACTTACATGTTCGTTGGATTTCGGGTCGCTAAATTCCTTATTTAATGATCGAATTTCTCAATCTGTGATGTTTTGTATATTTCAGAATTATTTTCATTGCATAGCACGTTGCCTTTTTGAAGTTTCAATTGAGGCAATTATCGTGTGAGTCGAAAAATGGGTCAACATTTGTCAATTGTGAATCAGCAAATTGTTGACTGGACTAACGAAGATGAAATGGCGCTTGATTCGAATTCGATTACTTTTGCTAATGGTAAAGAAAATATCAATTTATTTCTATCGATGAAAACACTTTCTGATCCATCAACAAATCAAACTCAATATAATAGCAATAATCAAATGTTGAGTTCAGAAAGATCATTGATAAAACAAATTCAAAATCATCTATTATTATTAACGAAGACCGATGAATTCACAGAGACCAATACCAAAGTCAACAAAATACTTATGGAAAATAGTTTTGTACTTGTTGCTGACCATTATCGAAAGGCACTTCAAGAAATAAAAACTATTTTCGACAAGCAACAACAACTACAAAAGTCTTTAAGGAAAAAACTAGGTAATGATAATAACACTAATGAATGCATTTTTGCAGAGTCATTTGCCGAATCTTCAGTCACGAACAAAAATATTCTGCTGACTGAGACTACAACATCCATTCACGGTGCTCAGACATCTACAGTTGAAGAAGAAATGCAACAAAAAGCAGAAATTGAAACTCAAAAGTTTTCTTATTTTGCTATACAATTGTTAACATCATTATTGCTAGTTTCAATCAAAGCAAATGAAAGAATCGATTCATCAATTGCTACACAAATAATAATATTAGCCAGTCAATTGTTCGAACAAATTCCTATTAGATTTTTATCATCTTTTGAACTATCGTCAAATAGCAACAACTTGATGTTTAAATCGTTGAAACCATTGATAAATTATATAAATGAATTATCTTTGTCAACAGATCCCATTTTAGCAGCACAAGCTGTGCAAATTTTGTTAAAATTTTCGATTGCACAAGCATCATTCCATGATCTTCTACCCATAATAAGTAAATTGATATTCAACACAACTGACATTTACAATGTACGATATTTATTTGGACAACTGAACAATAGTCTTACAAAAATTCTCACACAATTCGAACAAGAAAAACAAGAGTTAGGCAACAGACCACCAAATGATTTTGATTCCAGAGAAGACAAAGCAAATTATATCATATCGGAGAAAACAACAGGTTAGAGAATCTTTTTTGATCATAGTAACTGTATATGTAGTCCTCCCCAGGTAAAGTTTCTCATCGAAGAAACACGAATATTTCTTTCTGCCGATGCCAAGTGATTCTAACATAACAATAAGTCCATTCGATAAATAGAGATAACAATCGTGCGTACAGAACATATCTAAATAAAATGCTTGCTTATTTTATTGTATCCTTTTTCGAAACATGGCCTCAGACATTATGTATCAAGTTTTGCTCGATGGTAGTAAAATAAATATTTGACAAACCAACAATTGAGTTTGGACAAAAATTGTTTCATATATCAACTTGTACAACAAAGTCTATTCTACAACATGTATCATTCAAGTTTCGCATTGTATACTGAGAAGGCACTTCAATCTTCGTGTTTTTCCTACATCCTCACTTTTGAAAAGTTCGACCTATTCGAACGCCGAAATTAATAACTGAGAAAATGTCTGCAGATCACTTGGGTAAAAGCTGCGGCTTACTTCAAAACCAAATTTCACAAAGAAGTGTACGCTCTATGATATTGTCGAATCTATCTGACGATTTGAAGCATCTCAGCAAAGCAACATGCGGATATTAGCTAAAAAGTGTTTGTTCGCTATCCAAACCAATTGTGAGGCCTTTTAAATATTTCTTCACTACGATCAAACAAAAATAGATCTAAATTTTGCAAAGAAATTATATTTGTTATTTGTTCATTTTCGTTTAATAATAATAATTCTTTCTTCATCAATGCAAAATGTTTTTTAAGCACCCACTATACATCTTTTGTTTTTTTGGCAACCCATAGCACTATTGAATCAAAATATTATTCAAAATTATTATTAGATAGTTCTATTTTTGATGCATTGATCTAGAGTATACTGATTCCTAGACTAAATCTTTGTTAATCAGAGTTTATGATTTCAGCTAGACTTCCTCTAAGAAATGGTTGAGTCCATTACTAGCGCTGTAAAATTCGGCTCCTAAAATCAACACAATAACGGTGTTCAATTTTTACGAGTTGTTCGTTTACATTTTTTTCGAAAAAAATCAACAATTATCAACGATGCAGTTTTTTTGGATAATCTCATCTAGCCTTGTTATAAACCTGCTATAACTATGTTTTAAGAATGATATTTTGAAGTGATATATGCTTGACAATTTTGTGCAATTCTTAATATTGTCTGGTGTGTTTATGTAGTTGTAAACTTGCTATGCTGTACCAAATTGATCAAGTTATATTAAAAAGTTTATCAGTGTAATCATCCTTACGAAACCAAAATATGGGGCTTAAATGTTTCTTACTATTTTCAATACAAGAAAAAAGTTATTTCAGTGAGTCTCTCTTTAAGATGTTGAGCACATAGGCCATTTATTTAAAGAGAAAAGAAGATTTTAGACCTACAACTTCAAAATTCATATGACAGATGAATCTCTCAGGTATTCGTTGAAACTCATCTAAGTGACAATTAGATCTAGGATTCCAATTGTATTGATCTTTTCTTCAGTTGGGTATACATCTCTGATCAATGCACTCTTGTATCACGATATACATGTACTAATGTGCTAAGTGATTCTAAGATTAGCCTACATAAAAGTAATCTGAATTTGATTAACGCTAATTTTCGAACGCCTTACCCACATCTGGCCGTTCTCAGATTGACCTAGCGGATAAAATATGTGATTCGAGATTCGCCTGCGTAATCAAGATAATTGCAGATAGAACTAGTGAAGGAGAGAATTTCAAAAACAATGTTGCATATTTTTTTAAATGTTATCGAACTGAAAGAGACCTAGAACAGAGTCAAAACTATTTACTTTCTACGATACGCCGTATATGAGGCTGCTGTAAAAAGAAATATTAATCTCATATCCAGAAAATCACGAATTATATCTCATCTTCGACGAAATATGGATTTGCTACAACTGAGATGATGTAGTCATATTTACAGGATACTTGCCAATGCTGAGAGAAAAACAAATCAAACATAAATATTAGCTTTTTATTTGATAGTTTCTTACTAGAATTGTTAAAATCATTGCTTATTGCCTATTATTAAGTAGTGAATACTTCAAAAAATATTCCTTATTACTAATGGTACGAGTAGTAACCTTGAATAATCGTTTTATTTTCATCTCAGATTTCCAGTTAAGACAAATTTTCTATTTTAAGCGAACGGACTCGATAATCAGCCCAGCTCAAAAGAGAAAAAGCCGTGCAATTGTTATTAGATTTAGCTCTCAAAAACAATATTTTTAGACGAGCCATCACTAATTTCATTGAACTATTTGAAAGTAAATGGAATATTTCCTGGCACAAGGCCAATGGAGCAACATGACAACAGATTTACTGGTGAATTCATTTCATCAATTATTCTGGCACATATTGACATTTATAATGAAATTCATTTAAACAAACAATTCAATAATGGTACAATTGATAGTTCAATTTCATTTGAGTTTCATCCAAATACATTCAAACAATTATTTTATATTCTCGAACAGTTGACAATGATAATAGCACAAAACTCAAATCCAGCTCTTATTCATATTCTAACTGTATGCGTAAGATTATTTAAAACGCATTTACAATTTCTTTGTACTATGAAATCAAATATTGGTAGAGAATTATTGATGAAACTTGATGATGAAATAAGAAAAACTGCTCAAGACTCTCCCATTGAAAATATGGATAATATTGATGTAAGAACATTTGCAAGCGACGATGAATTAAGAAAATGGTTTGATTTATTATTGAAATTAGCTTGTAATGATGATGACATAGTGGAACTGACAATACTTTATAGAGAAGCGTCGAAAGCTTTGATTTATGTTATGGATTTAAAGACAAAATCATTTACAGAAAAACTATCATTTATTCATAAATATATTATTGAAAATAAATATCATTCATTAGTCGAACAACTATTCATCGAACTAAATAAAACGGTCACATTATTATATTGGATCGAAATCTTATGTGGCAATAACAAATCTGAAAAAACCAAAGCATTGACAATATTGTATTCATTCGTCGATATTTGTTTGAGTCCAACGAACGATTTAAGCGAAGAACAAAAACAACAAATTAAACAAGTATTATCTCTATTCCAACAATTTTTTCTAGTCCGCTTAGTGCCACAATCCAAAATGAAAAGTATTCAATGTGAAGCGGCGGATAATAATGAAATAGATGAACTGGAAACATCAATTGGTACTACTTCTGCATCAGTTTTCGCTCAATATATCTCATATATATTTAGAAATTATGTGAATAAAATGGAGAAAACAGATGATTTAATCAATCAAATTTTTGTTGGTTTGTATTTAATGACACAAACAGAGATCTTTAGTTTCGCCACTGTTCAACCAATGTTCACGGCTATCTTGCCATTACTAGCAGAGCATTTACTACAGTGCATAAATAGTGAAGAATGCATTATGCATTGTCTTTATTCGCTAATTGGGAAAATGAGTTATGTGATGATTGCTGGTCCACAACAAACTTCATTGGAAATGAAACACTTCGACCAATTGAAATCGTTTCTGTTTGCTGGTGGATGTGAAAAAACAACAATCGAATATAATAAATATTTATTGAATTTATATAAGTGTGATCTCGCCATTTATAGTAAGTTTCAATTATCGTATGCAAATCAACAGTCATCATCAGATCATGATTTTTTAATGTCAGTATATAATAACATTGATCAAGGTGCACAATTAATATCGAAAATGAAAACTTATATCAAAAATCGAGATCATTTACTTCAATCAATTGTACAACAAGCGAATGATGCATGTGCAGCTCTATTCGCTGTCTACATTAAACACTATCGTCGAATTAATATTGCTAAATCGGAACTATCTCGAACAGATGATAAAAGATCTCATAACAAACTTTTATCACTTTATAAATATGCAAGTTATGTTCAAACATTATTTGTCACAACGAAAGCACAAGGTGGTGATTGCAATGAACTACACAAACAAATCAAAATGAAAACATTATTTTTATTATCAACCGTTAAAGAAAATAATTTGATTCCCATAATTCAAGATGATTTATCGGAACTAACGACAAGCACAAAACTCATGACAACTGTACCACAAGAAAGAACAGGATTTGTGTTACAGCGACAACGTTCACGGAGGACAAAAGCAAAGCATTTATTTACAATACTACGACATACACTGCATGCTTGTATTCAATTTAAAAGATTAATGCTAGCCAAAAGACAAGCTATTAAACAAAATCAAGAAAATGAGAGTATTTTAAATAAAGAAATCAGTAAGTTTGTTTGTAGTGATCTTCACAAAGAGATTACATCAATAGAAAATGAAGAAACAAAATCGGAATCCGATGAACTCTCTCAATGCATTGTACAACAGCATGAACGTGCAATGACTCGACTGGTTGCATATCGATTCATTCATACATTTATACAAAAAGCATTAAAAATTGAAGAAGAAAAAAAACGAACTTTAATGATTCTAATGGTATATTTACCTTATCTGAAAAACTCAAATGTTGATTGGTTCTACTTAGAAAACATTGAAGCAACAAACAATGAATTGAAAGAAGAAATTCGAAATAGTTATTATTCAATGATTAAAACTGTTCTATCCTGTGTTTTACAATCAAAAATATTTGAATCAAAAATATTCGAACGAAATATGTTCAACTTACTAAATCTATCGTATAAATCGGTTGACATTCGTCTTCTACATCATTATCAATTTATTGAAATATTATTCAAAACGTATGTCAGTTTTGTAGAAGAAGCAAATCGTACTGTTTCACTTCATACGAAATTAATCGGATACAATTGGTTTCGACTTTATGTATTGAAAGTATGTGAAAATATTCAAATAGATGAATTGAAGGAAAATTTTAACGGAGAATTAGCACAACAACAACAATTTATCTTTAACACACTACTTTTAAACGAATTGAAAGGATTGAGACGACTGAAACAAACATTATTAATTGATGCAAAACACGACGATAATGTGAATTCTGTTGAATATAGAAATCATTCTCTAAACAATTCTTCTTTTGGATGGTTCATTCATGTAACAACAAAAACAAATATAATTAAAACATCAAAGTTTTCAAATAATTTGTTATCATCGAAGTTTGAAATTGAACTTTGTACAAACCAATGGTTAACACTTTTACTGCGATGTGTTCATTTGTGTGAACATGTTCGATCTGTGTGTGGAACTGCTGATTTCATTGAAGAACTATTATATATTTATCGAAATAGTGAAAATAGAGCGACGATTTTACTTACATTGAAAATTTTACGCGACTTACTCCCATTTTTACAGGAAACAACAAACACAATGTCATGTTCAATGATTAACAACCTATTAAATGAAGTTTTATTTTCTATCGGTGATAGTTACACTTCACAATCCATCGCATCAGAGACAGTCACTGAATTAATTTATATTTATCGTACAATAATGTCTTATAAGTCACCATGGCAAATGATGGCAACGCAACTAATTTTCGATAGTATCACATCAAGTTTGAATAATATCGATGGAAAATTACTCGAGACCATTGACACAAAACAATGGAACTATTTACTAGCATCATTATATATATTAGGTGGATACATCCAACCGTATGGCTTGGGTTCAGTCGTAAAAATATGTAATAGTGAAGAAAGCAATGAATACGAATTAGGTATTATCATTGATATCGATACGAATGCTCGTGACCTAGATACACCTGATGCATTGCCTTATTTTGTTCAATATTTACAAGAAAATAAAACTGAATGGGTTACAATCGATAAACTAAAAGTTAAAGTAGATGTTTCTCCACCTAATCTACTCGTTTTAACAAATACTAGTGATTCAAATGTAGCTATCCATTCACTTCTTGACGCATTAGGATATATCATACAGATTGGTGATATATCATCAAGTGATTCTTTGCGTCTTTTACAACTTAAACGTTATTCTATTACTACTCTATATAGAATCTTAAGTAACAATCAAATAATCGATATTTTTATGCAAAAACCATATGCTTCATTTATTGCCAAATTATCAACGACAGATTCATTTGGAGAAAATGGTTTTCAACCAGCTGATTTACGTTTGTTTAATAGATCACATTTGGAACAATACAGTTTCAGTTTAGATAGGTATGAACAATTGGAAAAAATAGTAGAGAATAATCATAATAATGTTAGTGATCGAATTTCTCAAAATACAACAACTGCAGATATTCAAGTTGATTCTTCATTTAGTATTTACAATAAGGTGGATATTAAATCAGATCATTCAATTGCTAATACATCATCAACAAGTACAGTGATATATCACGGATGGAAACCATATGCATCAAAATTTGAAATTGATCTATATAAGAAGGGACGAATTGGTAGCGATGAAATCTCAATTGTTTCATTTACACGCCATGCAGCTGAATCGGGTGTAATTCAAGAATGTGGTGAGACACATCGATTTAGAGGCCGAATTTATATAAATGATTCTAACAGACACCAAAGCTTTCCTACATTTGTTGTTGAAAATTTAGAATTGAGTAAAGGTAATTGGTACTATTGTATTAAGTTGCCATTTGCCGGTCTTGTCCAAATCGGATGGGCGACAACCGGATTTATACCGAAATCTAATGAAGGATTGGGAATAGGTGATGATAAATATTCATGGTCTTTTGATGGATCACGCGGTACTTTGTACAATAATCAAGAATTTCGGTTTTTGTCACAAAATATTCGTTGGAAACCAAACGATGTTTGTGGTTGTGGAATCGAAATTAATGGTGAAAATACTCGAATTAAATATTGGTTGAATGGAAAATTCTTGGGAACAGCATTTGCACATCAATCAAAAATTGAATCGACAACAATTAAATGTAATCTGTTACCAAATGGACCGAGTACAACGTATTATCCCGGTATTACTATGCAAGCACGCTACGGTCAGGAAAGTTGCTGTGAATTTATATTTAGTCCAGAAGATATGATAGAGTGTCCATTGCCCGAAGGTTACAAACCAATCTTAATGCCACAATTAATTCATAATAATGATTCTATTGTTGCTTATCCGTACAGTGCCTATTTGGTTGGTGATGATGTTCAAGACTTTGTTTATACATCACGAAGTACATCATCAACAACCCTTCTACGTGATTTTGTCAATGAACATCATATCGAAGCTGCATTAACAATCAGTGATCATCAATTAATATTGACGAAAGATAGTGATGGCTTCCCATTTTCGATTGACAATCCAACTGCATCATTAACGATTAGTTTTCATTTTCAAATTTTAACACAAACTGAAAACAGTTCAAATGACAAATTTGACATTCTACTATTTACATTACAAACAACCGAAGAACATTCAGTACGAATATCATTAAATAAAAAGGATCAAGAAATAAGAGCTGTAATTTTAATTGATTCAGAAGAACGAGAAATTAAAATCTATATAAATAACAACATTTGGCAAACAATCAATGATGAATTTTTCGATAAGCAACCAATAACGAAATTCAATTTTCATTTTCTACCTAATATTGCTGCTGGAATAAAAAATTTTGCTGTTTGGAAATACGCACTTTCAGAAGAATATATTCGACGTGTATTTGCTAGTGGTGTATCTTATGTAGCCCTTGATTATAAACAACGGAACGAATATCGATTGCAAGCGAACACATTTACATTCACAAAAAATCAAGAACAATTTCAAAATGAATTTCTAGTTCCATTCAATGAATCATTTGATGAGACTACATGGAAACAAAAACAAAAACAAGCTGACATGGATGAATCGAAATATTTTAAAACAATAAATGAAATTGATGAATCAGTTGTACAATTGTACGGAAATAAAAGTTATCTCGTTGTGAAAAAATCAATACATCCATGCTACGATTATACACTTATTCTCGATATTTCAATACCCAATTTTGCAAAGAATGGAGAACGATTAACATTAGTTATGTTTAACTCACAAACGAAAATAGTTATAACGTCGTTCGGTAAAATTTGTCTTTCTACGACAGAAGAAAATAAGGAAACTGAATCAACATTAAATTTAAATCAATTTCTACGTTTACTTATTAGTGTAGATAATAACTTTGTCAAAATCTATGTAAATGGATTGTTAGCACTTGCTGTTGAGATCCAAAATAACTCATTGGTTATGAATATGAATCAAATTTATTTGTTTAGAGAGGATGAATTGACGAAGAATACAACCAATGATGATACGCTTCGAATTCAATGCAAATCAATTACATTTCTAAATCGATCAATAGTAACGTTTTACTTAGATGAAGCACTGAAATCACCAAAATATTCACTGGAAACATTAATTGCACCACCATTTTCAATAATCGCATCAACTCTAATCAATATTGGATATGAAGTCGAATGGATAAAATCTGTTATGAAACAACATAAAACGACTAATATTCAATTGATTGATACAATTATACGTGAACATAAAGAAGAATTTTTAAAGATAGACGTTCAAAAGCGACGAAACCGTACTTTAAATATTTTGTCAAGATTAGGTTCATCGATTGATAAGGAAAAACTAGAAAACTTAATTCATACTTTAGAAATTGATACCAATGATCAAATGGCAACTATTGGTGAGCTCCTGTTAACTCTTTGGAATGATTTTCAAACATCAAAACCTTTAATTGTTGAAACAGAAATTAAAGATGATACTAGCCTAGATAAGAAGGAAAATATATGGTTCCATCATGCAACAGATGAATTCGATTTAAATTATATTTTTGCTGAATGGATTCGGGATAAATCCATAGCAACGCAAGAAACAGATACTACTTATCAACTATTCGATTTGAGTAAATCGGAACAAGAACAAACAATAACAGCAACAACAATATTTAATAAACGAACAAACATTAAAAAATCTATTCAATATTCACATAAGAATATTTTACACAAACAATACTTAGATTCTCGTATTGCTTGTGAACATGGATTAATATCGATCTATGCTCGTTACACAATTTTGAATATGTTGAAAGTCTGGTCAAGTAATAGTCCATATATATTTCAATTGGAAAAATTTGGTGATTATCCATTCATTATAAAATTATTACGATCGATTGACTATCATTACACATATACAAGCATAGGTTTAGATGACAGTGTGGATGCAATAAGTTTTTTAGTAAAATTGATTCTCAAAAATGAAATAAAATATTTAGTTGAAAATCCTAGTGCTAACAGTGAAGTTTTGTTAAACAAAGTACCCTTAATTTACCATTTACAAAAGGATATTATTATTGAATCGATTCAATTTTTATTGAAAATCTCGTTATTAATAGACAATTTCAATGGCGAAAAAACAATTATTGATGAACAAACAAAAAGAGAAGAATCGAATTTAAATTTTATTCTCAAAATAGTAAATGTTTTTGTTGAATTAGTAGCTGATAAATCAACGATGAAACAAGATGAAATCGATGCACTTATTCCATTATTATTTCCCGAGCCGTTAATCAGTGTGATATTCGATCTATTTCTATTGCTTCCAACGCATCAATCGAAAATTTTCATTCTTCATCTATTTGTTACGTGAGTATAGAGCACTTTATAGAATATTCTTATTTTTGGCTAATTGTCTTTCTTTTAGCATCTTATATTTTACAGAAGTATTCTTTTAATTTTCTCATAAAAAAAGTATTTGTTATATTTTCATTAAAATGGAAATTAATTCACGGAGAAGCCTCTAGAAGTTTTCACTCACAACTTACCTCACTTTTGGACAAGACTAAATTTGTTTGGAATAAGTGGATGTTCGATTTAGATTTCTTTTCTTAGATAGATCTACTAATCACGAGAATATTATAAGTTTCATACAATCCAAAATCATTACTCTTAAAATATTGAATTTTGAAAAAATAATCTTTACTCCGAAGATCTTATTAAAATCTAACTTACTGAGAACTGGTACACTTCTCAAACAAAGCATTCATTTTGTTTTTCAGATGATTATAAGGTCAAATCAGTTAGAGCTAGTGTTATCTTTACTATCCTCTATATGCCCCTCTGAGATAACTTCAAAAATTATTTAAGAATTCAAGATATTTTCTCGTCATAAAAAAAAACTTACTTGTGAAACTGACAAAATAAGACAAAAGCTTTGATGCAAAAGTATGCGTTGATAATTGTTAGAAGAAGCATACTGTAGCTTGTGAACGTGATATACAAGCAAAATGGTTTGATCTTTTTCGTGATCATCGTCATACAAAAAGAAACACAAAACGAAAGCATCAGACTTGACGTAATTTTAGTTTTAATTATAATATCCTGAAGTGCGATATAAATTTTAGCGATATAATCGCATCAAGTTATCCAACAGATGATCAACTACGGTTTTTCGAAAAGAAAAAAAACTTCGCATTGTTTGATCAACGAAAAATGAATCTTGTTCAATTTTAGCAAAAAACTCATTATAGAAGTATATAGTTTGTGGTGCATTTCGACACACAAAAATTCAGTAGATTTATTTCGAAAAAAAAAGAACTACATTTTGACAACGTATTTCCAACTTATAAATTCCAGTGTAGAATACGTTGTTCTCTTATAAAGCCTACAGTCATATAACGCTTTTTAAAATATTTGACGATGTTTTTATCTTTGTATAGCTGGACACTAATATATTTTCTTTTTATTCATAACATAATAATTCATGTATTCTACGTCATGAGCAATCTAGAATTCAAGTATAAAAATGATCTATTTGTTGCATGTGCTTTTTGTCGAAATCAAACTAAATTTCGAATGAATTTTTTCAAGACACGAATAATACAATGGTCAATTCATTTTCTTTTATTTCCTAGTTTAATGCAAGCAAGTAAAAACTTTAATTTAAATGAACGAATGCGGCACTTTATGTCCCAATTATTAATTGAATTATTATTGAATGAAGCATCGATAGACAGTCAAACGATAAAAACACTACAAACCATTGTCATGGATTTCGTATTTCTAGATTTAACGAGACAAAAATCTCAGCTTAATTCAATGAACAATGTAAATCAACAATTCGAAACCAAATTATCTAAATTTCCAGAAAACTTCCAGAATTTATGGATAGTCATCGATATTATTAATGCAATTACTGATGAAACAAAGCAAACACCATATCCTGAAGCGTTGCTCGTACAATCATACAATAGATTGGATGAGACTCTTCAGTTTACTCTAGAGGATATTGCAATTTCAAGCTATTATTTTGATAGTATATCCGATCTACAACTGATTAATCTAATGAATAACGATGCATTGATTGAACATTCCTTCAGTGAATTTATTTATAGTCTAGTAATCAATTATACACTGAATTCGACATCTTTCGAACTCTATCCATCCTTATTAAACATTCCAACAATTTGTCTACAAAATCGTGCAAAACTGTTTTATGTATTCGAAATGTTTGTTGAAAATGTTTTATCACTTCTTGATTTCAATTTAGCTCCGAAAAAAAGTATTCTCACAGACAAAATTCGAACAGTCAAAAATTATTTATCAAACAGGATAAGAATGGAATGGTTCGAACAATCGTTGGACGAAACGAAAACGAATTCGTTTTCTATTTTTCCCAATATCCAGTTTGATTTTGTGAGAGCAAGTATCGCTAATAATAATGGACAACATAGTACATTTTATCAAGGTTATGAACAACTACATGAAACTGCTCACTTATTATTCAGAAATGACAGTGAACGACTTTGGCGAGCACAATACATGGGAATGCATAGTACTGATCACGGCGGACCTTATCGTGATTCAATCACAACTATGTGCTCAGATATATGTAGTACACGATTACCATTATTTATTTTGTGTCCAAATGGTCGGACAAATACTGGGTTGAATCGCGATTGTTGGATTCCAAATGTATTTCCACTAAATCAATCGATTCCCGTTAAAATCAAAAAACAATATCGATTTATCGGACAATTGATGGGTATGGCAATACGAAAGAAACATTATCTAGATTTAAAATTTCCCAATTTATTATGGAAACAATTGGTAGGCGAAGAAATAACTCTGAAAGATATTGAAGCGATCGATATACAAAGTTTTGCAATTATCAAGGAAATGGAAAACAATATGCAACAAAGTCAATCAATCGATACTGGCAATGATAACAATTATGTATTTAGCAGTATTATGAATGAACTTCGATTTGATATTGTTAGTTCAGCTGGACACACATATGAGCTGATTGTCGGTGGCAAAGACATTCCAATAACAGTCGATAATTTCAAAGAATACTGTACACGTTATTGTGAATATCGTCTAAATGAATTTTGTCGACAAATTGAATATATTCGTCAAGGCTTATGTAGTGTCGTACCAAATGATTTTATAACTTTACTTACAACTAGTGAACTGGAAGAAGCCGTATGTGGAAAAAGTCAAATCGATGTCGAATTACTGAAACGAAATACTCTGTATAATAATTTCCATCTAGAAGCACCATATATTCAACGATTTTGGAAAGTTTTAGGTGAAATGTTCAATGAGGAGCAAAAGAAATTATTCTTAAAATTCGTTTGGGGAAGAAATACATTGCCAAGTAGAGATGAAGATTTTACAGAAAAATTTTCAATCAACATATTAATGAAAGATGAATGTGAAGCGGATAGAACGCTCCCACGTAAGTAGAGGTGCTCTATGTCAATGTCAATCATTAAGTCTTCGACGAAGAATTTCGTTTTCCATTCAGAGTTATTACTCTTGTACTACTATCCATTTTCAAATAAAAGAAGTGGTCAGTGTGGATGAAATGATTCATGAACGTAAGCAGTTAGAGATATGCAGCTTTCTGCATATGAGAGATAAATCTGGGGCAAGGCAAGCTATAGTAGGAAAAAAAACTTTTAATGGGATTTTTCGTGACTTTCGTAGGAGATTTTTGGAAATCTTTACTTTTTCAAGCAGATGTAGCAAATGAATTCAAAGTTTGGCACATTAATTCGATGTACACAAAAGTCGATAGCTCTAGCATATTCCGTTCAAGAGTTATAAGGGTTTTCCAGAGATTGTCGATTTCTGTCTATCGATCTCTGGTTAGACAGAAACTAGATTTTGAGAGGAATAGTCGGTCATTGTTAGTTGAGTGGTGACTTTTGGTTTTCAAACTATTTGAGGTTACTCAATCAAATTTTAGAATTGTAGCTTGCTGCCAACATGTCAAGTGTAGAGAGGATATTGTGAAAACTGGATCTAATGCCTTCATATAGTTTGCAAATTAAAGTTACACATCACCATTGAACTCAGTGTGGTTGAATACCTGTCTCTAAGTCTAGTTTCGAGTGACCCGAGGTCAATTAGCCGAAATCAGAGTCTCAGGAAAATCTTTATATCTGACGAACTGAATGTACCAGAATTGTTGGCTTTGTGTAAATCAAATCGACATTTCAAACTTTGAAAACCGTTCACTATATCTCCTTGAAAACGAGAAGGTTTTCAAAGATCCTTTATAAACAATTGGTAAAGTTTCAATTGAAAACTTTTCTCTACAGTTGACTCATTTGCTCCATATACATATATCTCTCGAATGCAAACAACCACAGAACTCTAATTTTTTGCGCTCCGGAGCTATTTTTTCACTTAAACTAACTGTCTCTTTTATTTTGAAATGAATAGTAGTATGTGCAGGTATACGTTATATTCAAATCGAAATTTCGTTTCAAAATACTTCGTACGATTTATAGAATTTCTATTCAACTTGACTTTTGAGGGTACCCGACTTTTAAAAATAAAATTTGCATAATTATATGAAGAGATTTCATTTTGATAGTACGATTCTGAACGCACAATCAGTCATTTATGAGCAAGACCTTCGATCATTATTATAAGTCTATTTTATATGGGATAAAAGAATATAACTATACACGTGATCCTGCTTTATATTTTTCTTAAGTTATTTTGCTTTGAATTGGGATAAAAGATTTCAATGCAGAACTCTTTAATCATCACTACTAAGACATGAAACAAAAACAAAATCAAGTAGTCGAATATATGCAGAGAAATTCAGGCTGTCACGCGACATAATCGAAGAATTTTTACAACAGTATCAAAATTCGATTCGCATCTGATGGTTTTCTTTCATTTGAGCATAAGTATATTTTCAAATAGCTTTAAAAAGTTGTTCGAAACTATTAGACAAGATTAGAAACTTTAGTATTATTTGCGTAGCATTAAAATCTACATTGAAAGAATTCTGACGATTTTGTAGAGAATCAACCTGAGAACTCCAAATGTTATCATTGTTGAATCTTTTGAAACAACTTTGCTTTTGTTCTTAACAAAGAAAAAGAATCGAGTATTCCATGGTGATTTATCTGATTCAATAAAAATGCATTGGATGAATGAATGTCATATTTTACGATATAAATATGAATTAAATTTTGTTATTGTTATTTTAGGATCGCATACATGTTCATTTGCTCTTCACTTACCATCATATTCGACGACTGAAATCATGTACGAGCGTTTGAATTATGCAATTAATCATTGCTCGAGTATCGACGCTGATGGTTAAAACTGAGCAAAGCTACCTGAGAAAATAAACTTCAATGTAAATCAGATTTTCGTAAAACACATGCTAACGGTTTAAACGGAGTGTTTTTAATTGATAAAGATTGCGCAGCGCCTAGTGACAAACTTATACTGTTACAAAAGTAAACAATTTTATTTCATTAAACTCGACATTTTATTTACTTAATTTTTTATGATACACTTATGTTCGCTAAAAGATTTTTATCTGCTAATTAAATCAGCTTTATGAACATATTTATAAGATGACATATTTTCTCGTTCTCATTCTTTCTCATTTTTCAGAAGACATGGAAATCATGAAATTGCATAAATGAATCCTGCTCTGGCAAGGAAATGTTCCCAACTAACCCAAGCTATTTTCAACGATACTTTGTTCATATATTGGGGACACTACTCTTAGAAGTATCCTACAAAAGTTTGGGCTAACAGCTTCCTTCAACAATTATGACCCTTTTTACTGATTTTTCCTTCTATAGTATAAGAGGTATATGAGCCAGTCCATAAAAGCCAACACTGACTGCGACAGAAGCTGATCAATCGAAATCTTCAGATTTTGCTCAGTTTAAGATATGTTGTAGAGAGAAGAGTCATAAGAATTTTGACGCAAGTCGTTTGAAAAAAATATTGCTTCGTTCTCGAGATATTTAAATTTTTTTCAGGGCACTATCACCGAAAAAGCAATTCGTTTTGTTTTTTTACGACATTCATATTTCTCAAAAAAGTTATCTATTTGACTTGAAGTTTTACTGTACATATATCTCAAGTTGATGTACTTATGATCACAAAATGGTATGGATGTGGTTCTGGACCTTCTCTCCATCCACACACACATCCGTACGGAGATTTTACAAAATTTTTATTGGTCATTTTCTGACAGCTTTTTTATAGCAGTCAATAGAGAATCATGTGCTGATTTATACTGAATAGAATTTACTTAATGTAGTGAAACTTTTCTATTAATTTCTGAACGAGCTCAAGTATATTTTGTATAGAAAAGACTCATTTCTGGATATCTTTCCGGAAGGCGCCACAGGCCATTCTGCAAGATCCCAGGGCATTTAATGCATAACTTCGTACAACATAGTGCGTCATTTAAAATCACATCAATCCCGCTGATATAGGACCCGTGTTTTGGAAGATTGAATCCTGATGACATCGTGGTTTTGGTTGAAATCATGGTTTTGAAAAAGTCTCCAAAGTGACAGGAACTATCTAGAGAATTGAATTTTTTACTAGGATAAGTACTCAATGAGATCTTTCTATAGCCACAATTTCAGCTCTCTAGCATGATCCGTGCATGATATGTGTATATACACAAAACATCGATAAATAACCATTTTGTCGTGTACCTGCTAGTTCTAATTAATCCATCTTTATTAAGTAGCTTCTCTAGAAGTCAATCGTGGCTTACGTGGACTGGCTTATATGCGTACCTTGTACTAGATGTAAAAATCAGCAAAATGATCATAATTGTTAAAGAAAGCCTCATCATCCCAAACTCGTAGAATTTTTCTAAGAATAGTGTCCCCAGAATATGAACGGAATATTGTTGAAAACTGCATGAATCAGTTGGGGACCTTTCCTTGTAAGAAATATGTGTATCATTTCGAATGAATTGTTTGTCAGTCTATAAGTGTTCTATAACAAAGACATTACTTTTAAATCGACATACTGATCCAATTTCACCTTTTGTACACATGTTGTAATCACTTATTCACTTTATGAATTACAATTGTAAATGAGTGTTGATGTATATAGCAAGAAAGGTAAACGACTGTCAGCCCCTACCACCTTCATCGGGTTTAATCCAAAGACTTGCAACAAATGGAACGAAGAAAGCTTCGTAATGACACACTTCGTGACAGAAATTTAATACTGTTTGTCTATTTAGCCTTGATCAGCAATGACTGATATGACCGAGACTCTCGTTTACGAAGGGAATAAATCTATCGTGTTTCATATTTTAATTTTAGAAGGAACTTACTAAAAATATTCGATCGTTTAGTTTGTTTTCGCGTTTGGATAGATATTCTTCCATTTTAGTTAATATCAAAATGATTTACAACAGGCTTCGAAAACTCAGTTGAATTGAACTATTCAGAAGAGATTCTCAAACTTCTATGATATTTAGTAGTTTCACTTTCAAGCATGATATGTAGATCATACAATCGGTACTTGCAGATTTCACTACATTTATGCTCAGATCAATAGAACCATTTTATAGAATATTCTGTCTAATTATGTCACCCATATCAATCTTATATTCACATGGCAGTAACACTCTTGACAATCTATTAAGTAAAGTTTAGCTGAGCATATAATTTCAGTTATAAGTCTGTTTCTATTCTATGAAGAATAGAAAAATTTATGTTCTTGCTTATGATGTTTTTCATTCGTAATTCAATAATATTCAGAATTTTTGAGACAATTTGTTGCCACATTGGTCTTCGTAGATTTCAGCACATTCTTCGTGGACAACGTACAACTTTCCGTCTGTGCTTTGACATTCTACCAGTTTGCAGCACCACCAAACTTGTAAAAATTCACCTTTATCCGTACCGGAAGAGCAGATTCGACAGATATAACGTTCATCTTTGTTCCGTCCCAGAAACATGAACAACGAATGTTCATGTAACGATACCATTCTTTGCAACTCATGATCGAGTCCGCAGCCGATTTTCCAACTTTTTTGCGTTATTGTGTAAAAAACACAACGAGTTGCGTTTGGTATACTGGCAAGCATTGTAACGATTACGTGTCCCGATTTGTGACGTTGTCGAAGTCGATCAAGGCCAAGTTTGCAAGCCTCTGCAATAATATTGTCGCGTGTATTTTTCGCATCGAGCTGGTCAATCAATGCTTTTGCATGTTCGCAAACTTTATTGTTAATCGCTCGTTTTAAATCTTGAATTGTTTTTAGAAAGACTGGTTTATTCAGACGCTGTATTGTCTCGGTGCTAAAGTTACCATGACGTCTACTTGCTGAGTAAGATCCAGCGACGACAAAATGAATTGGTTCATTTGTCAATTCCAGTACTTGCCGAATATTATCTTTTTCTGTTGCAATAATCTCTTCCGCGTTATTATAATCGTATATATGATCGCACTTATTTCGTACAAATATGATTCGTTGCTTGACTATATTGCACAACTCGCTATCGGAGGTGTTCTCGTACTTTGCCGGATCTGATTCACGCACACCTTTAGCAAGTAACGTCAAAACTTTGTCATAAGTGTCTTTGAACCCATGCAATATTTTATTGTCGATGACGATGAGACAGATGAGCATTAGTTTTGCGAGTTCGACGATTAAATCTTCGATGTCTGCTAGCTCTAGTTTCTTACGAGGCTCGTTTGGATGTTTTATGAAAAGGTGACGCTTCTCTCCTATGACTGCTTGATTCAGACCGGGTACATCGATGAGCACCTGGCGAAGCTGTTGTCCAGTTAGAATGTTTACATTGTCGTCACTTTGAATCACACTGGCACGAGGTACGATAGTTGTTCCATTGTCCGTTCCGATGCGAAAATTGATACTATCAGTAAGTGCTTGACAAATCGATGACTTGCCGACACCAGTGTTACCTAGCTGCATGATAACCACATCGTAGGGTTGTAGCTCAAAATTCGAGTCATCACTTGCTTCCGCATAATCTTCATTCACATCTGTCAGTAAGGGAACGGATGCGTCCCGAATGATGATCTTACGCTCTTCATCATAGAATTGAAATGTAACTTCATCAGATACTTTGCTTGTTACTTCTCGCTTGCCATTGGTGATCCTGAACTAGCAAAGCACTATTTTGAAAAAATGGCTTCGCCGATTAAAAAACATTCCTATGTATTTTGAGGCTCTCTATGCTGGATACATTGGGTTGAGATCTACTGAAGCTCACTTTTCTTTTTCTTACCAGAAAAAAGCAAAATCTCAAAAAGGTTCAATAAAAATGTTGTCTGGTGTACAGGTTCCAAATTTTTTTTGATTTTTTCTCTGGGAAACTATCTGCACAATGTTTGAAGTTCCTGAAGTTCAACAAACTATTACTGCAGATGTTGGAAGTTCTGAAGGTCCAAATGAGTATAATGCAAACAAAAAGATTCTTCACAATAGTCTCATCGGTAAGTAGCTAAATGAGGTCTAATACAGAGGATAGGTAACGCATCACATGTCAATGAACAAAAAACAACACTTTAGAAAAATTCGTAATGGTTGGGATGCTAATCTAACCCTTGCACAAAAAGTACGCGCTGGTAAAAATAAGAAATAACTAGGATATTCTTACAAGAGTGACTGGAATTCTTCTTTGATGTTGACACTTGTCACCATTACTTCTGGTGAAGCATTTTTATCAGCTTGATAATCACGTTCATTGTTATCAGAACTTTCTATTGAGAGTGAAGACACCTGTCGATTAATCGTCACCATATCTGTCTTATGTAATCTTTTGTTAGCTGTATTAAAAACATGACTGTAGTCCGTATTGAGAGTTCCAATTGATTTTTTGTCAAACAATGTCGAAGGCGGAGGCATTCTGTCATCTGATATTTTGCCTGGATTCCAGTTTGGTAGATATTCGAGGCCTGTACAAAACCAGATTATACCATGGTGATCAAGCTCGCGCCAACTCTGCATCATATCCCATCCAAGAAGTCCCATTAAAAGTACACAAATACTTGGAATGAGATAGTCTGGTCGAAGAAGTAAATAGAAGAATGTTCTTGCAGATTGATCAACATAGAGAATATCCATTTTCGGCATCTGTACATTGTACATGTATAGAGTGCACACTATTGAATAGCTTAGCATCAATCGACTACCTAAAATCCAACGACCATCCTGACACATCGGTAATCGAATACCGAGGGCAGTTTTGGCAATCTCGAAGAATTTTTTCTTCATCGTCTCGATAGTTTTATTTTGTAATTTCTTTATTCCCAAAGTCATAAGCGCATGCCAGAAAGGTGGATTTTGAAAAAGAGTCCCCAGTTTTATGTATAAAGTGACTAGCACGACTTTATGCACGAAACGTAGTAGATATCGTGGCGAGTAACCAAGTGAAGTGACCAAAATAAGAAGCATAGTGTCGTAGATCATCATTTTGACTTTAGAATTAGATTCATCGATGGTCTTTTGACAGGTGAAACATATGACTAATATAATCCGCCCTACAGCCAAAATTAAAGAGAGAGCAAGTGGAATTGGCGGATATACTACATATTTCGAATGAGTCTTTTTCTGATCATTATAAATAGAGACCATTGTACGTTGATAAATGAAGAGAAAATCAATTAGATCAAACAATGGTGCGATAAGTTCGATAAATTTTATCAAACATGTATAGATAATAATTATCCCATAGAGAGGGGTGTTAACGAGACTGAAAAGATACCAAAGGAAAAAAACTCCACAAACCACAGTTGCCCAAAAAAAGGTATCACTGATGATAAAGAATTGTACGTATTGTAGCAGTGTGATATCTTGAGGTGAATATGACCGAAAATTGGAGAGCATGTCGAGCAAAATCGTAATGCACAAGGCGACTGTCCCCATTGCCAGCATTCGAATATGCTTGATAACCAGTTCGTCAAATTGTTCATCCATAATTCTAAATGCAGTTGCGATGCGATGTCCGACAGATCCAAAAAGTTTCTCCATAAGCGCTATGATTTCGTCTATTTCTCAGCTCCCTAAACAAAATGAAAATAAAAATGCTTTTCGAACACGACGACATACAATCTTTCTTTCAATACTCTGCATTTCATCTTTCTCAATTCTCAGTGACAGGCAGACATTCACATCAAGTTTAAAACAAGAAAGGAGATTAAGAAGTAAGGAGTGTACGTTCCGAATACAAATGAAGAGTTTAGATAAAGATCCACATATGTTAGACGTCAAGTGCAGAAATCATTACATGTAGTGTCCTCAAATAATTTCAAACTGCCAAAAGAGAAGAATGTGCCAAAATTTAAACATACACTTATTTTTATGTGCGTTGTTGCTTGTGTAATTTTCTTTCTTCATCGGAGAGGGATGTGTAAACATCTTGTAACTGCGAGAAACCTCCAACTATGATTCATCATATGCAAACAAGCAATAAAATAGAGCGAACTATTTTTACAGCACTTCCTATTTTTTCGCTTACAGAAGAAGTTGCTGACAAACGTTGTAATTTTATGTTTACCTTTTTCTATGGTGAGTGACGTATGAAAGTTCATTTCCAACCACAACGTAGTCTATCATCATATGGTGTCCATTCTGGGGAAAAACTGCAGCAAAAGTGCGTAACAGCAAAAAACAATATAGCAAAAGTTAAAATAGCGAAAGGCTTTTCCGCGATTTTTTTTTTCACAAAGAGCTTTGTTTCTTTATTGATGATGGACTCTCTTAGCGCTGAATGCATATTGAAAAAAAACAACCGTTGCTGTTCTTTACTTTCTGGCCTACTAAACTATTTTATTCCTTTCTCCTTTGGGTAGATATTTCACTACGCACGATGCCATCTCACTGTTAGAAACTCTGTACTTTCTTCATTCAACTATGAATATGATCGATGTCACATCGATTTCTATTACGATTTGGAACTGAGGCAACTTCTTTTCCTTTATTTTGAATTTGCATATCAGCTTAAAAAATTGATGATAAAAGTTAAGTATTAAGCTTTTCATGTGACCGGCTATGCAACCAACGCTCATGCAGACAGGATCGATCATTTTCTTAAGACTAATGGGTATCGTCACTGTAAGTTTATCAGAACAAATTGAACTCCGAAATATTAAGAAGAAGGTCAAAGGTCGAACGGAGACTGGAACAACTGGAGTTCTTGAAATATATCTGGAAGAACTTGATCCTCTCAATATCTCTCAGACTGCCTTGATTCTTGCGACTATTGTAATGGGTACCAGCGAGTTCTCCGTGTTAGAAAATTTCAAGTGATTTTCTATGTTCCAAAATAGGTTCACTTTCTCACTTACAGTATTACTTTCTGGGCTTTTCCTGTATTTTTCTTTTACCTGTTGTATATATGTACTATGTTTTGTGTTGATTGAGTTTGGCTGAAATTATACTCTATTTGGTTATCAGTAGTGATTTTGCTTATTTTGTTTTTCGCTGAAAAGCTTTTCGCTGATTTCCACTGATACCTTTAATTTGACGTCGTGCTGTTTTTAAATCATCTTCTTCAATATTTAAGTCTTTTAAATATCGTGTGAATAAATCTGACTGATCAATTTTTTCTAACCCTTTAAAATTTTGTCAAATACGCTCTTGATTTTCAAATATAGATTTAATGTATGCTTGACGTGATTAATTATGTTTTTCAGGATCATGTAACATATTTTGAATAGTTATGATATTAAGAGCTGTCTCAAAAACTGATATCAGTATTAAATAATTTTTTGGTGTCTATGTTTGAATTCGACCATCTGTAATTGTACAGAGTTGGAAGTAATATTATTTCAGAGGAGTACCGTTATGATTTCAAATAGAGTAAATCATAAATTCTATGTCAAATGAAAACTCGTCGAAATGGGATTTATTAATGGGAAATAAAAAGGGTTATGAAAACTTTCGTATATTGAACTCTCAAAATTTATAGATTTTTGTAGAATGCAATCGTTATAATTTACTGTGAGTGAGTTGTAAGACAAAGAAAAAGGGGAATTATCTTTAGAAAAATCGAAAAGAACACTGTTCTAGAAACCATAAGGCGTAACTCTGATTCAAAAGATAGGATTGTCATTTTGCATTCTGATGATCTGTTCCGTGTGGTAGCGGTTAGTTAAAAGATTTATTTTTTATTTTCTTTCTGTCAGAAAGTTATCGAAGAGAAAAGTTCAAGTAATTTGTGGGACAATATATAAAGTCATTTTCTGATCAATATATTTCATTAAAAAATCCATTCTTTTGCTAATCAACGAAGTCCGATTACTTCAAAAAGTCTGGCGCGTATGATACTGAACAGCTGGGAGTTATTGATAGAATTAAATGCATTGCATTTCATGAAGCTCGCAATGCCGATGCAACATTTATAAATAGACAATGGGTCGCAGAAAAAGTTCACTGCACGACTCGGTTTATTACAGAATGCTGTGAAAAATCATATGACCAATGTTTTATTGATTATTCAAATACTAATCCTACGCTCAAATTATCATAAGCGAGTCAAGACATCAATCTTAAAGTAACTGATCAACAAAGAAAAGACTGTTCTTTTGTGGAGTAGGAGATTGAAGAAAAGCAAAAAAGAGTGCGTTGTTCTAAGAACAAATAATAATTATCGTCATAGCAAAGGATAAAACCCGTTCCATGTCATTCCAAAAGCATTAAAATCTGAAACTCATATATCAGATCGGTTATGGCTGTGCGATTGGTTGAAAGATTAGACGGAAAAAAAACTTTCTTCATTTTGCACTACCTGATGAATTTTATCTCTGGGTTGTCCGTGGACGAATTTGTCAGAATGACTGAATTTAGGCAAGAAGCATCGAAGATATTGAAGAAGATGAATGACAACGTGAAATGATTAAAAATCAAGCGTGCCTTGAGGTTTTTGTTATGTTTACTTGCAAGAGATTGCTTTCTGTAATCAAAGATAGAAGTGAATCATGGTCTGGTCAACATTTTCATGACATAATTTTGCCTCAAAAAGTATTTTTTTTCTTAATCAATGAAGAAAATGTTATTGATCCCGATGGAGTTATATTTGTCTATGATAGAACACCATCTATGCAAGCAAATAAGACTTAACATTTGTTTCAAGACAGCAACGTTAAGTTTTAGGATAATGATATGTGGTCTGGAAATTCACCCGATCTCAATACAGCAGAACATATTGAAGCAACAACCAAAGATGAAGTTGAAAAAAGAAATGTTGTCAGAAACTGAAACTAATCAGTATCTTGAAAACACACTCAAAATTCAACTTTCAGATGCTTTTACAAACAAGCAAACAGATACTGAATTATTTGAAAATCTTTTATGTTCGTATCCATCTCAACTTCGTGCAGTAAAGAATGCTAACAGTCTTCATACTGATTATTGATTGTATTCATCAAATGATGCAAAAAATAAATAATTTTGTAACACATTTAGTTCGAACTTTATCTCATTAAGTTTTTCTATTAGTTGATGTCGATAAAATATTACTAATTTCAAGATTTCAGCATACGAAAGTTTTCATAACCCTTATTGTTTACCATTAATAAACCCCATTTTCGACGAGTTTTCATTTGAGATATAATTTATGATTTTCTCTATTTGAAATCATAACGGTAACTCACCACAATGGACAGAAAAATGGGGCGAGAAACAGTGTTTACAATTAATATAGCTAATAACTATATATTTTGTATAATTATACTTCTCGCTTCATACTGATTATCTATGCCTATTTAGCCTCTTCTACTAGTAAAATTTCTGAAAAATAGGTTTGTTTACTAAATTTTCCAGCAAAATCCTGTACTCTTCTGCAGATCACTTTGAAAGTTGAATTTTAGTTTTGGTTTGAAACTTTGCATAGATAATGCTTTCCATCAAACTAGTTCATTGTGAAAGTTTCAGTCTTTTCTGTTGCTGCTGTCGTGATATATTAATAAAAACACAAAATTTACTTTCCCACACAACAGAATTTCGGATGTTTATATCTCACGACAGAAGCAACGAAACAGACTGAAACTGTCAGAATGAACTAGTTTAATTGAAAGCATTCTTGTTTCAAAGTTTCAAGTCAAAACTAAAAATCCAACTTTCAA